CTCGTTTGGGGCTCAAGGCACAACACAGTGACTTCCTTTCGTTTATCTCATCAAGGCCTTGGGTGCCTCCAGACTCGAGTGCGTGGACGATAATCATTGGGCAGTTGTTGCACAGCCGCACGGAAAAGAATTGGGGAAGAAACAGTCTGGGTCAAACCGAATCCTCCACGTGGAGTCTCACACAACGCAAAGTCTACACCGACCGCAGTGTTCACTCCAACAGTCGATGTACTGTACAGAGGCTACTTCTCGTCGTCTGAGACAGTGGATTCAAGCCTTCCAAGCGCGCTGTGAACCACGAGCCTAGCTTACATCTTCGAGCCTTCCAGACTGTTGTGACGTTGCAAGCAGTCAACAGCACCCTTACTTGTGACACTCTTGTTCCTCACGATGGAAGCAAGCAAATAGGGAACAAGATATTCACACCTAGGGCAACAGTCTGAAACCATGCAGTTTGCGCGAGGACCGTCCCGTCTCCACCGAACGCTACCCAGTCGGGAACATCCCATCAACGACAGAACCCACTGCCTCACCTGCAGCAAGCTAAAATCGACATCGCGAACATTCTCCCGCCTGTCTCGCTGGCATCTCGGCCTCGATTCCATCTTGAGCTGCGACTAATGCACGAGATCTCGACCTGTTCACATATGGACTGGGGAGTATGTGCGACACGTCTACCCATGACCAACAGTAGCAAGATTTTGTGCTCGAACCCTGGAGCTGAAACGTTGGGAACGGCACTCGAACAGCCACACTTTGAAGGTAGTCGTAACGCAGTAGGTGCACCTCGGTGCGAGACTCTACACTGAAACCCATACGTCGAGTCGCTATTGCGGGCTCTGTATTTCCGAGTGCGAGGTGACTTTGCCAGCCAAATGTATCTCGAAATTACCCGAGCGCTTCCACGTATTGATACTCCGATCCAGATCGTCAACCAACATTGCACCAGCCTACTGTGAGCCAGATTTGTACATCGAGTCCGACAACAAATAAGCTTCACCTGTCAATCCTAGAATAGTAGTACCTGCGTCGACAATCTCTACGCCGCAACCCGCAAGTAAGTGTGGCGATTTCCGCGCCCGCTAGCTGCCCCTCCACCTGAAACACTGACGGATCTCACCACGATAGCGGGGCACCTGCCTACATCACTGACCTCTAGATCGCGATAGTCCTGCATCCAGGTCGCTGGGATCATCATAGCCGCTGCCAAGCCATGTGCTCACCGGATACTCAACGTACCGGAGGAATACATACTATAGCGAAAATGACCTATTTCTAGACCTTCATACTGTACTATCATGTTGGTATTTGTTCATGTATTCCTATTTCGAACACCGATTTATCGTTCAAGATCAGGTGCCGGATTTCGCCATCTTAGACAACAATAGCACGGATACTCAGAATCCGGATTCGGGGTAGTGTATAGGCTGAATAGGCTTCAACCCTACCTATTACCTATTCAACAACTGTCAACGTTGATCTTCTATTCTCAGTTATAGGTTATTATTGTGTGTTTAGCGCCACACTGTGTGTGGCGGCACGTGTAGATCGTTTGCCACAGATTGCTGATCGGTGGCCATGACTGCGAATGAGTTTCCAATTCTGGTAACAGATGAATTAGTTGCCACTTTTACGCGAGGTGTTGGTGATCTGCGAGGATCAGTATCCTGGTTTGAACGATGGTCTTGCCACTTTGGTTCATGATGTTCGCTTGGGAACGATGGGCTCGCGCGATGATAGACCTCGTGAGAGCGTACGAAGTCAGTTGCGCCGTACATCAATTCTACTTTCTGCTGTTGAACTCGAGTCACAGTCTCCAGCGTACATCGTGCATTGCAGTCTAGGAGCAAACCAGCATGTGAAGCAAAGCCGTAACGCAACACTTTTTGAACGGCATAGTGCCTTCAAAGCATCAAGCCTCTCATATAAGCTATTTCAGCAAATCCGCTCAGTAGGCTTCCTCCATGGCACCCCGAGGATCTCGAAGATCTTCTTCTCATCTCTGCCCTCGACCAAAGTGCCCTCATTCAACTTCTCTCTATTCCTTCCTCTGACAACATCTCTGTACAAGCCCCTTTGGTTCAACCGCATCCCCTTCTTACTAGCCAATAATCTCATACTTCGATTGAATATGTCGTTACCCGTGAAGTAAAGCAGCGCCGCACCCATCTCCTCCTCAGGCACTAACAGCAAATCCAAACGTCTCCAGACCTTGGAGCCAGGTAAACACGAAGCGCCATGCCATTTCGTGCCGTCATTCGTACGGTGACTCGTAGCGAGCGCGACTTTGAAGAAATTGAGGGAGAAGAGCATAGGAACTAATTGCTCGAAGACGATATTCCGCATCACCGCAAGGGACGTAGCAGATTTGGTGATGATGAGATCGATGTCCCCGGAGTCCTTCGCGCCCCGGCGGTAGGAGCCCATGACTGTGACTTGGAACCCTTTGTCGATGCGATTCAGGGTGCCGCGCACGAAATTTCCATGCTGCTCCACTTCAGCACGAGGGATGCGTGCTGCGAAGTCATCGTAGTGCTGTATGCCGATTTTCTGGCTCTCTGTCAATCTGGCCTTAGTGACGAGGTCTTCGAGAGATCGATAACCGGCTTGTATCCATTTGTTGGCTTGTGATAGCCCAGCCCCGTATACACCCAGGAAGAGACGCAGGACTTGATCCAGGGGGTCATCGCGCGTGTTGTCCAGTTTCCTCAGGCGATTCGTCAACACGATCTCTTCGATCTTCTCAGCGAGTCTCGAGCCTATGAAGGGAAGTGCCAACGCTTCTTCCTTTGTGCTGATCTTCGTGTCCTGCTTTCGGAGCGTTGCAATACCTTTTCGGTATGCAAGAGTGCGCCATTGATCCTGCATTTGATCGTAGTACTTGCACATCTGGTCAAGGACCTCAATAGTACGAGCATTGGGGTTTTGGGAGTTGTTGTTGGCTCCTGGGTTCATGCACTGGAAGTTGTAGTTATCGAATCCTTTCGTCTTACCTCTACTAGACGGTGAGAATCCGAAGGAGGTCTGCTTTCTTGCTGGCTTCGGAGCTTCTTGCGATTCATTGTCACTGCTGGAGTCCTCCGCGGCCGTGTCAGCTGCCGTAGAAGCTGCATCCGTATCCTCTTCATCGATGGGTAGATGAGAAATGGCTTTTGTCTGCTCGATTGCTCGGGTAAGTTCATCGTTGTATGAGTCCACTGGATCGGATGATGGCTGGATAAAGCTATCTTTCACAATATCAGAGAATGGGCTTGATGGAGGCTCCCCAGGATCCCCTGAGGGCAGCCAGCCATCCTGATCCGGCACCGAATCCGTCCTCGGAGATCCCTTGGCGGCAAGTTCGCGTCTTGAAGGTTTGACCTGCAGAGAAGATTGTGAAGCAGGTGAAGACGACGCTTTTAGCGCTGCACTGAAGGACGTTGGTCTCGGTGCACCTTTGAGCAGAAAGCGACCGGCTGTCGCTTCCAGCAGGAGTCCCAGTTGGATACATTGAGGTATGTAAGGATCGAATTTGACTAGCGTCACCTTGCGAGGAAGTCCTGCTTTATTGAGATGTCTCAAGACCTGTGTGTAAGAATAATTCGCATCGTCCACCATGATATGCGTGATGTCATTACGCCATCGGTTGACCCAGGCTGCACCAAGTTGAATGATCTTGTGAATACGATGTCGCCGGGCTAAGCTGATGTCATCATTCGGGAAGAAGTATACGATCTTTCCTTTCAGCAACTGCTTCGGCTCGGGTTCAAGCCTGATATTCTCAGCTGGCTTCACATTCTTTCCATTCTTCAGCTCTCTTGGTATCACGCCCATTCGCTTATAGAAAGGTATTTCGACGTCTTCTGTTTGTGCAGCGGCAACAAGGTCGGGAAGAGATGTGCTATGTCTCAACCCACTTCGCGGATTCTGCCGTTGTGGGCTTGATGACCCGTTGCTTCTCTTTCGTGCAGAAGGAAAGCTCTTCGACACGTTCGCTTCGGGTGCCGTCGCGGATCGAGTCAAATTGGAACCCTCAGGTCTTGTCTTCAGGCGCTGCTTCGTCGCATGCTCTTCAAATTTAGCTTGCCTCTCCTTTGGCGTCGGCCCTAGAAAGCTGCTTCGCTGGCGGACAAGCTTCGGCATTGTTGGAGGAGGCATTGCTTGCGTATCAGCAAGCGCGCGTTCTGCGCGCAGCATATTTTCGTCAGGGAACCCATGCTCATCGTCCGAGATGTCCAAAAGCTCTTGTTCTGAAAAGAAGGCGCTCTTCTCCTGGAGCTCTTTGTCGGCCATCATGGGTCAGGCGTGAAAGTGAAGCGCAAATGATCGGAGCAATTAGACCTTAGATCTTGGTTCGTCATTGGGAAGGATTGGCCCTTAACTTATACTGGTGCAGGTGCTTTGGGATTTCTAGTCAGCAGTGCCTTCACTATGTGTTGGCATGACACGCGAAGAGGCAGCAGTCGTGATGGAGGGGGGAGCTCGTGCTAACGCGTGTTCACGTGGGTCAACTAGTCCACTTTAGGCAGGAATGACTACACTCTCCGACATCTGCCTGCGGTTAGGTTACGCTGAGGTTGTTGGAACATTGCTGATTTGACTTGTTCAAAAACACACCTGTCTAGCAAAGAGATCATTAGCCAGAGCGCCATCTTCCTAATGACCTTGCTTCTCCAATCCCAGCTGTTGAGTTCGACCATCTGGCTTTTTAACGTGACTATCTTACTTCTCGCTGATAATGGATGACGCTAGCTGAAGGCCTTTCAGGCTTCTAGATTTGGTCGTTTGTATAGTATCGTTAGTGCCAATATGCATTATATTGCGTACGGTATTGGTGTTTGCACAGCTAGCCTGTCAGACTATTGGCACCCACATCCGGTAACAAACGAATCCTCTATGTGACTCATATGGGCGACTGATGTATATAAATCATACAAGGACAAAGCCTTTCTGATGAGGATGAATCTATACTGCATGTTATAATGAATAGATGCGGAAAATTATCTTAAGAACAAGTCCAGGGGCTGGTAGCTCAGCGGTAGAGCGTGGGACTGCAGTTTGCACTGTGACATCTTAAGGTCGTGCGTTCAACTCGCACTCAGCCCTTATCAGTTTATGATATCATCTTTTTGCTCCCGGTCTTGCAGTCTCAGTACAAGCGGTGTGGAGATGAGTCAAAAGGTACACTCGAGTGTTGCAGAGAAGGAGGAAACATTAATGAGTGAAATAGGTATTACCATTAAATTCGAAGACATGCAAAGACCATATATATATATATAAAGACTGACGTGATAAATGCTCATTTCAGTGAAGAATGGTGTGCAGTGTAAAGGTTCAAGTGACAAAGTTGAGGCAGATGTGAACGCCAAGACCGATTAGGTCTTCAACCTCTCGAGGCTCCCCAAGCTCCAAAATCCACAACCACAATGCTCCAACCCCGGATATCCTCGCTGCTATCGCGTAAACTCCCTATTTTCAATCCGTCCTCAACTTGCCTGCGATGCCAACATACCGCGCTCCGTCCCCTCCTCCCATGTAATCGAACATTCTCCTCCGCCCAGCACCTCCGCGCCGACGCAGAAGCAAAACCAAAATATGTACCCAAATCCCTCGGCCGCCCAATAGGCTTCAGAAACCCACCGAAACCCGGCGAAAACACTGGAGTCAGGGAGAAGAAAACATACACCGGCACTCTCTCAGAACGAAATCTCCAGAAGCGCGCAGACCTGCAGCAAGAATGGGGACAGAACTATTTCCGCGACGCGATAAATATCCGCAAGCACGCTGGCGGGAAGACGTTTAAAGCGAATCCGCGACTCTTCAGGAGAGAGGTTGCGCTGCATTTCCCTAACCTGCGGGGCGCGACGTTGAAGGATAGTGTAGCTGACACTACGAATGTTTTGCGGGGAAAGATCAGTATCGTCAAACTATACGGCGCGCATTGGGGAAAACTCCAAGTCGACACATTCACGAGAGGCAAGAATAATCCGGAATTGGAGGAGTTGTTGGAGAAGAATAAGGACATAGCGCAGGCGATTGATGTCAATGTCGAGGAGAATATGGCGAAGAGGTGGTTGACGGCGCTCTTCCATTGGAGACTGAGGAAGTCTATGTTTGAGGAGGAGTGGGGGAAGTACTTCATTGTCAAGAAGGGTGTTAATCAGGCTATTAGGGAGGCGATTGGTTGCTTGAATGGGAGGGTCGGATATGTGTATTTGCTGGATCAGAATTGCAGGATTCGGTGGGCTGGGAGCGGTGATGCAGAAGCAGAAGAGATTGAAAGTCTCAACAGAGGACTTGGGAAGCTGATCGATGAAGCGAGAGGAGTAAGGAGACAGGTGGAGAAACCCGATGTGGAAGAGGAACTAGAAGCGCAGGCTGTCAACGCTGGCGCTTCGTGAGCTCTAGAGCTCTGTATTCAAACTGTAGAATATTTGTACAACAACGGAGAACGCAAGAGAGATGCGCTCCTGTAACGAACAGCCATGATCTTACATGGATATCCGAATCGCTCAAACGCCTGCCCAAACGGATGCTGTAAATGCAAAATCATCTGAACCATAACAGCATCAGAAAGCAGAACGCGATGAAGCTACCCAAGATTATGCCATCCCTCCTCTTCTTGGCGCCTATCCTACCAATCAGACTGTTGATACCAGGCACTTGGCTCGCAGCACCAACTATCCTCCTCTGAATACTCGCCAACGACTCCCTCTGTAGACTAAAGTTCTCTCTCACGGCGTACGCCTGGCTTAGTACACTGTCCGCTACGTTGTGCGAGTTGTCGATCTGCGATCGCTCGTCTAGCATGTATTCTGCTTCCGCTTGTTCTGGATTCGAAGCTCGGTATGCATCGATGTCTGCGCGAACGTTGCCGAGGAGATTTGCTTTGTTTCGGCTGTCGTCTATTGTTGACTTTAGACGGCTAAGTTCTCGGCGGTGATCTTGTAATATCTCGCGATGTCGGGCAAGATTGTTCTGTTTAACGGCAGAAGAAGAATGTGCTGATTCAGAGTCGAGCAGGCGGCTTAGTTGGGCGACGAGTGCTTCCCTCTACCATAGTGATCAGTTGATGCTATCAAGATCCTACATGCTCCTCGGATATACCTTTTCAAGAACCTCTTGCAGTTGTGATTCCGATCTCTTTTCTTCTTCTGAAGGCTTGATTGGTATGTTCGTCATGGAGGCATATTGCGAGTATGTATGAAACAACGTCTCTGTCTGCAGCTATTGTTAGACGACCGCCGTGAAGTCCGCAGGTTCATCTGGAGTCGCATACTTGGGTTTCGAGAGCCCTGGCTTGTTGGCGCAATTGCGCCCATCCTCCACCGGTCGAAGACATTCTGTAATCGTAATGTGCAAGTCGTGGGTGTGAAAGTTGAAAGCAAGTTGTGGTCTGTCCTTGTGAGCACCCCGGTTGCGCCTGCGGACGTAACGTGCCAAGCCCTGACGCTCGGGCCACCTCATCGGAGCGGAAAAACCAAGTGGTGCTAAGCGAGCCCACCGATTTCGACCTTGCGACTTTCTTCGACGTTCTGCGAGCAGACGACACGCGATACCCTCCCAACACACGGACTAACTGCAGGTATCTGGCAAAATGGTACGTTAAGTTCTATTGCTTTTGATTCGCATTGCGCAATTCCCGATGAGATACATCCGGCAGCAGAGGTTGAGGGGTTAAGCCATTGGATGCGCGACCATCGCGATTCGGGAATCAGGCCTTCGCTTTAGCAATGTGTACAGAACCAAACGCTAACATACTATTCACAGTCCGCTCAAACCAAAGTCGTATGTTGAACACGCTGCCGCCGCAAGAGCACGCTCCCGAACGATTACTTACACCCACCGCAGAAGACCGCCCAGTTGTGGAACAAGACCAAGGAGGACTTGGCCAGCCAGTTGACCGACCTCAAGTCGTACGTTGGGTGTATGGAATAATTGCAGGATGTGCGGTGCTGACTGAATTCGAAGGGAGTTGATCCAGCTCAGGACTAGCAAGGTTGCCGGTGGTGCTTCCACCAAGCTCACCCGCATCCATGATGTCCGGAAAGGCATTGCCCGCGTCCTCACCGTCATAAACGCCAACCAGAGGGCGCAACTCCGTCTCTTCTACAAGGGCAAGAAGTGCGTCACAGCAGATATCTGGCAGCCGTAGTATTGGTCTGACAGCATACAGGTACTCTCCTCTCGACCTCCGACCCAAGCAAACCCGCGCCCTCCGCCGAAAGCTCACCAAGCACGAGCGCACCCTCGTCACCGAGAAGCAGAAGAAGAAGCAGACCCACTTCCCTCAGCGAAAGTTCGCCGTCAAGGCATAGATGGTGTTATAGTGGGGTTTCTTTTTCTGTGTCACGAAGCATTGCATTGCCGGGGCTTTCCGATCAGCGCTCACCAATGTACCCTTATACCTAAAACGGTCTCCTCGAATTACCCAAAGTGATGGAAAGGCTCGGGTGGTGGACATGTGGCGATTGAGGGACTGGCGATCTTCTTTGGAATTGGGATGGCGTCCATATCAAGAACAACATGAATCAAAAAGTTCACAAGCACGGCGCAATCTTGAAACTGAATCGAAGTGAACTTTGTGGTAGGATTGCACCTATACATCGATCAGAATTAATCTTGAAAATCGATCTTGGCAGATAATCTGGATTTTTTTGGAATGCTTGCTGCACGCATCAGCAGAAAGCATGGCCCTAGAATTTGGCGCAATCTAACCAGTCAGCCACTCCTTGTAGAGCCCTGGTTCTTCCAGCCTCACGCCCACCATCTCTTCTCTAACCCCTAGTATGCCCACCTTGCCGATCTTGACACCGTCTTCCCCGTCCTCGTCTACCTTCCAGCCCGAAAGCAGCTTCTTCAATTCTGCAATGACCTCTGCCTTATCCTCAATCAAGACCACGATAGCATCGTAGCCACCAGCTCCAGGCACCACTCCGCCAATGACACCTGGCACGTTCGACACTGCGTCCAGCAGCGCCGTTTGCTGAGGAGGCTCGACCGGCACCTTGGACTGGACGCTCATCTGCCTAATCAACTCCCTATTGCTCTTGAAGATCTCCCTCAATTTGCCATACCTCTCCCCCGCATCCCCATTCGCGACCTCAACAGTCGCTAACCGCGTAAGCTCCGCCGCAAGCGCCTCATTCCCTTCCTGCAGCGCCTTCCAGATCTTGTCCGCGTCCTCCTGCCTCTCCTTCCTCCAAGCCAGCACTTTCTTCACCATCCCGGGGGTCTGGGATCCGCAGTCTACATCGCACATCAACAATCGAAGACCTGCTGGCATCTTGATAGCGGCTTTCTGGATCTCGGTGTCCCACTCTACACCCCCGTCCACCAGGGAGCGTAACTTGGATGCGAAGCCTAAGGAGCCGGGTTCGCCATGGCCTTCGAGGAGGGAGGGCGAGAAGCGTCGGTAGAGACAGGATCCGTAGACGGCGGAGGCGATGTCGAAGCCGGAACCTACTTTGCCCTGGGCGGCGCAGTGGGAGGCTTGGGAGAGGTTATGGAGGACTTTGAGGCTCTCATCTTGACTTAAGTCGAATACATCTTTTGGAAGGTAGTGAGTGAGGAGAGCGGCAGTGAATGAGGTTACCAGTGCGGCGCTAGATCCGAGACCGGTTTTGTGTGCTTCTTCGAGGGTGACGTCGAAGTCCAGGAATTGGGAGTTTGATGATCGTGCCTTGCCTGGATTTGAGTAGTAAGAGCTGGATGCTAGGATTGAGATTGAGGATGGTTGGATTAGGTATTGAGGTGCGCAGGAGGATATGTATGTGAGCGCGTAGGCGAGAGCTGTCTCGATGAATGGGTTCCGGTTCAGCGACGAGTCGTGCGAGCTGGACGTTTGTGATGAGTGGTATGTCTAATGAAGTGTTTCGGAATAGGGATAGGAAGCAAAGATGGACTTAAAAACAAATTGCGAATAAGCGTGTTTTAGTAATTGATGTCTTGAGAATTCGATGGGCTGATGTATGCCAAGAGATATTGGAGGAATTAGGGGAAGTTCCCGTGGTAAGAAACGAAAAAAGTTGAGAGCGACCGAGAAAAGCAATAGAGAAGCAATGGCTAGGAAAAAGACATTTAGGAGGACGGAGAAACAACCATCG